CCAGAAGCTGCTGCCTGGAGTTCAGAGGGTTCAATTTAAACCAGAGCTGGTTTTTTTATGACCAGAGCAAAACATTGTGACACACATTCATGTTTTTTATGTGTTAGTTTGAGTCGTATTGAGACGGGAAACCTGAGGTGCAGCTTCTAAACAGCGACTCTAATGCTGTGGATCAGTTTTATTAATTTGGGGCCACGTTTCAGACTTTATTGTTTTCGCTGCTCATTGTTCGATATAAGCGACATGGCTGATTTCGCTCGATGTGGTTCCACTGATATAACATCAGCTTTGTTATTTCACACCTCCGACTCTGTGCAGCTCCTGACCCGGCCTCTAAACTGTCGTGTCGGTGGTTTTGCGAATTCTCGTCACGCTTCTGCTTCATGTGGTGAAAGTTCATCGCATGTTTTAAATCTGTTGCTGTGAACCGAAGCTCGACTCTGAACCGTTATATCACGACTCTGCAAAATCAGACGTAAGGTTCTGCAGTTTGATCATCATGATGTCAGACACAGATTCATCTCACTGATCTGCTCTGAGGTCTGATCTTCCACGTCTCCGCCAGGGTGCGTGAAACTTAGCTTCGTAGTTGTTGTGTGATTCTGCCAACAAACAAACAAACAAACAAACAAATGGTACTAACAACGGCAGTATTTGTCTCCCTTCTTTATGAGATTTCATTAAATTCAAAAGGTCGAGCTACAATTATGAGTTTAGTTGCACTCGAGCTGCACGTTCACTGCTTTACTCCGCACGTTCTCCGCTGCATGCGCTGCAGACGATGGAGTCGAAGCTGCACAGCGTCTCTGAAACATCTTCATCTGTGGAACGATCGGCTAGTTTACTAATCGAACGGTGACGTCTGTGCAGAGAAAAGGCAGGAGATGAAATAAAGATGAACAATAAACGTGCTCATCGCTGGACCAGAAATATCTCCTGAAAACACACTGAAACATGAAAACTGCTTGTTCCCCTTAAATGAACCACATGTTGGTGACCAGTGAGTTAAATCGTTTTATTAATGCTGCTGGTTTAATTTAGAGGCACTGAAATCCAACTTCACTTCCAGAAAAATCCACTTCAGGTTGCCAGACTTTCTGATTTAAGCGTTCGTTTTTCCCCCCAAACTTGAAAGACGGATTTTGTCTCGTTGCGTACCGTCATTTCCTCGTCTTTGGTTGAGCTTCAGCAGAAAAATGCGAAGAAACGAGCTAATGCTATTAGCTTTAGGTTCTTTAAGATCCTTTATTTTCTGTGCAGTGATCGTTGTTGAAACTGCTTTTTTTTTGTTGCTTTGTTTTGAGTCTTCTGGAAACAAACTGAAAGTGAAGGTTTCGCTGCAGCAGAACATTTTGAAGAAACGTCCTGACGTCAGACGCACAACGCTGAAAGAACATTAAGCCAAATCTTAACATCAGTTTATAGTGACAAGCATAAATGAATAAAGTTGATCCGAGTTAAGCTGCTTGTTTAGGTTAAATGTCGTATTTTTATTTATTTTTAATTCCTCTCAAATGATCATTGCTGGAGCTTCAATTTCAGGATTTTTACCTTGAAATTCCCCATTTTTATCATGTAAATATTGATTTTATCCAAATGTAAACGATAAAATAAGATTTTGTCGTTAAACTTAGCAACTTATGCTACTGATAGAAAATACACACAACACTAAATGAGCATCAAACCTCATTTTTGCACTTTTTCTAAACTTCAAAAAGCAACACAGCGTCATTTTAAACTAACAGAATCCACTGAAGGATCACTTTTTGTACGTCACGCGTGTTGAAGCTGAACCGTACCTGCTGGAGAACACGTGTTGTCGCTCCGCCGCCGCCGCCGGAGCAGCAGCGTCGCTTTGTGCTGCTGTGTCATTTTAACGCTGCAGCAGCTCAACAGGCCTGCTGGCTGTGTGTGTGTGTGTGTGTGTGTGTGTGTGTGTGTTGCTGTAGGTGTGTGTAGGTGGTTGTGTTTTTATTTGTAGGCAGAGAAAAGTTCACGAGGCCGCCTCACTTCTGCTTCGAAACACGACTTTAACAAAGGGTTGCGTAACCGACTCGTCCCTTTCTGTGTTCTAAGATGCAGCTTTTAGATTTCGGTGCATTTTTCACTCCGACTGACCGTCCTGGACCGATATCCCGCCTCGATTTGTTTAAATGAATCCACCTGCTGCATTTGAATAGTGTTTGTTTTCGCTCTTTGCATATTTCCGACCATTGTTTTTTTTTATTTTTTATGTATTTACCAGCTGCAGCAGAAGTTATTAGTCGTCTGGATTCTCCTCTTCGTGAGAGAAGCGAGAGCAGTTTGCAGCTCCTGATGTGCAGTTTCTTTCTTTCTTTCTTTTTCTTTTTTTTTTTTAAGGAAACCAAACGTGCAGAAACACATAAAGCATGCATGGCTGTGTGGGAGGTATGTAGGAGAGAGAAGAGGAGTGATAAAGAGAGAAAAAGCACAGCGAGCTCAGGAGCACAAACTGGCAGAAAGACAGACGAGGAGAAGAAGAAGAAGAAGAAGAAGCAGCTCGAGAGGGAAAGTTGTACAGTTTGTTCTGCCTTCAGGGAGACATGGTGCTTCTCCTTCTTCTTCTTCTTGGATTTATTTGGTATTTAACGGTGAAAACAAACTCTTTCAGGGCATATTTTGTACCGTAAACTTTAAAACATTTTCGTATCGCTGGCAGCTGAGATTGTGGAAGCAGATTATGTAAAACACTGAAATGTTTTCATCTCCTCAGACGAACTGATGTTTTATCAAATCGGCTTGATCGCAAATCACAGATTCTACATGCCTCATTAAAAAATATATATATAAAAAAGACATCAAGAATAACTAAAATGTAAAAAATAGAAGAAATGAGTTGACCTGCAGGCAGAGTTTTAACAAACCCCGACGTCGTTTATCAGCCAGAATCTGGAAAAACTAAATAAAAACCTTTTTTTTATTGTTCACCTGACATTTTTAATTTTAATATTTGATCAGAATCACCTTGTTCTGCGTGTCTACAACAACAACACCAGTGAAACATTCAGATTTTTGGTTGAACTGAAGGCCGTGTTTTTATCAGAACCACTTTATTCTGCACGTCTCGTCTAAAAAGTCCAGAAATGAACAGTTTGCTGCCGATTCTGTTAAAAACACAAAAGAGGCACAACTGATTCTCTACGACTGACTCAGTTATGACCAACAATTAAACATTCTGAGTTCCACAGAGCAGTGAAGAGGACAAGAGAGACTAAAGTGCAGTTTCAGAGAATGCTAGGTCTCATGTTTTTTCAATATTTTACCAAGAGTCAACCATCTGAACCCGAAACCCTCCAGTGGGTTTAAAAGGCTCTTTACCTTCACAAAGTCTGCAGCAGTGACCCCTTTGTCAAAGTCAGAAACTGTCGAAACAGAACGAATCGTCAGGTTTTCAACTTTCCGACGGTCCTTGAACACACCGTGTGTGATGCGCAGTTCCAACAGTAAAATTAAATCTAAGCTTAAAATTGTTTTTTTTTCATCAAAAACTTTTTTCTAAAAGATCCATATAAAAAAAAGTCTCCAAGAATGAACAGTTTGCAGCAGATTATGTTAAAAAAGAAAAAGAAATAAATAAATCTTTAGCGTAACTGATTCTCCAACAATCAGAAATTCAGAGTTTTCGGTTGAACTGCAGCCAGTGTTTCCTCAGAGCAGAGAGGAGGACGAGAGAGATGGAAATAAATTAAATCAATTCAAATAAAACTCTCACTGACGCTTATACTGGTGAATTCCTCGTCTTATTATTTACTTCGTGGCGTGAATCTTGTGTAGAATGTTGACGTCTTATTGATGCGTACGGTAGAACTAGTAGTACTAGTAGTATAAGTATTAGTAATAGTAGTACATCCTTTACACTGGTCCATGTGCAGCATTAGGAATGTGTTTTACTACCGATCACAGAACACACGGTCCTAAATTAAACTTGCAATTTGTTCCCAGTTTGTAAAAATGTAAAAACGAGCACAATGACACCATTTTTAAACCAATTAAAGCCTAAATTCAATTAAAAATACAACAAATTACATGAGAGATTTTATTGCTTTTTGAAAAATATACTCATTTTTGGACTCGACGCCAGAAACGGCTTTGAAAAAAAATTTTAGATGTGTGCATGAAAAGTACGGAAAAGTTGCATTAAAAAAAATAAAAAATAAATAAAAATAGTATAAATAATAAGTAAAATCTCACAACTAATTAGGTTAAATGGCAACATGACTGGATTGTTTTGTTTTTTTTTAAAGAAAGAAAAAAG